TACACAGACTCTCTCCGGTGGGAGGTGGAGGGGAAAACTGGAAAGTGAGGGGAAGGGATTTACCAAGCTGAGCCCTAGTTTCCTCACCTGTAAGATCGCAATAATGATGTTACCACAGAATGTTTCTTGTGAGAATTGCACCGAATGGACAGTCAATCTAACGTCATCTCCCGCGGTTGATTCTAAGGACTGTGGTTATTAGCGCGTCCACCCTCCATCCTCTCCGAAGCCTGAAACTGGACAAACACCTCCCTGGGTTTAGTCTAATTCTAGACCCAGTTCTGGTCTCTCTGTTCTCTCTGCCTTCAACGGAGGTGATTATTTTTTCCGGGAAAAGATAGTTTTACTCTAAATATGTACAAAGGACTGGTACAGAGTTTGGAAGGATGGACAGAAATCACACAAATAGGTCAAATTGAAATATTGAAAATAAATTTTCAAATATCATCAAATTCTGTCATTAAATTCTAATATTCCCCTAAAGGGGAAACTGTTTAGCCAGGTTTCTCCTTACGGAAATTAAAGTGATACAGAGTGGCAAATTTTGCTAGAGGATGGTGTGTGTATATCGCTCTCACATGCGTTTCCCATGTGCCGGACACTAAATACAAAAATAAGCAAGTCTCTGTGTTATTCCTTATGAATTCCACTTTGCAGTTTTATTCCTTCAATAATTCTTTATAAAGTTTCCAGTTACACAGTATGAGGGATAGGTATTCTCCAAAGATAATTGTATAGGCATATAGGCTTATATATAGATATACATATATATTTTTTTGAGAAACAGTCTTGCTCTGTTGCTCAGGCTGGAGTGCAGTGATGTGATCATAGCTCACTGCAGCCTCAAATTCCTGGGCTCAAGTGATCTTCCTGCCTCTACCTCCAGGTAGCTGGGACTATAGGCACCCACCACCATGCTTGGCTAAACTTTAAAATTTTTTTTATAGAGTCAGGGTCTTGCTATGTTCCTCAGGCTGGTCTCAAACTCCTGGCCTCAAGCAGTCCTCCCGCATCAGCCTCCCTTGTGCTGGGATTACAGGCACAAGCAACCATTTGTAGCATATAAGCTTATATTCTATCATCTGGAAGCTTTTCATCTAAGACACTAGTTTGTGGCTATAACTGGTGTGAGACATATAAATAACAGACAAGTGATAGCTACACACACACATAAAGCACACAGCATGATACTTGGCATATAATAAGCTCTGAATAAATGGTAGGTATTAGCAAGAGTTAGGAGGTTCAGCTCAGGGAATCCTCTGCTAACAAAAGTCATTCCAATTTTAAATAATAAGTGATAGCATTCCCAATGCCTTATTTCTGCACAGTGCTTGAGTTTACAAAGTCTTACATCCCTTTGTAATGTATGTTACAAAATAATCAGTATACAAAATATTGGAGAAAAAAGCTGGGTTATCACCAGAAATATAGAGTACTGATTTAGAGTGATTTATTTATTTATTTAGAGACAAAGTCTTGCTCTGTCACCCTGGGTAGAGTGCAGTGGCGTCAGCCTAGCTCACAGCAACCTCGAACTCCTGGGCTCAAGTGATCCTCCTGCCTCACCTCCCGAATAGCTGGAAAGATAAGTGCATGCCACAATGTCCGGCTAATTTCTCTATTTTTAGTAGAGACGGGGTCTCCCTCTTGCTCAGGCTGGTCCCAAACTCCTGAGCTCAAGCGATCTTCCTGCTTCGGCCTCCCAGAGTGCTAGGATTACAGGTGTGAGCCACCGCGCCCGGTCCTGGTTTAGAGTTTAAAAAGACCTACCCAAGCCTGCAGGTGTCATAATCCTCATTATTAATGGGAAACCAAGACTGAAATTGAGTGAATTATTAACCTGATGTCCCAAGAACTGGCAGAGCCAGGCACCAGTGCCCTGGGCTTCAGTGCTGGCTGCCAATCCTGCAGCGGTACAGCCCCTTCCTCAGTGCTCCCATCACCTCACGGTTCCTCAAGCTGTAAATGAGGGGGTTGAGCATAGGAGTAAGGACCATGTAGAAGACAGAGACCACCTTGTCATGGCCAGGGGCCCGGTAGCACCTCGGCCTCAGGTAGATGAACATGGCTGCCCCGTAGAAGAGGGAGACAGCTGTCAGGTGGGAGGAACAGGTGGCCAGAGCCTTTTTATGGGCCTGAACAGAGTGCATTCGGAGCACCGTCCCCAGGATGCGAGCATAGGAGGCCACGATGATGGAGAAGGGAAGGAGCAGCATGAAGACACAGCAAGTAAATATCACCTTCTCAAAAAGGGAAGTGTCTACACAGGCCAGCTTCAACAAGGATAGCGTCTCACAGAAGAAGTGGTTCACCTCCCTCAAGCCACAGTAGGGGAAGGTCATTACTACCACCATCTGGATCAAACCGTCTATTATCCCAAAGGCCCAGGAGCTCCCAGCAATCTGAACACAGACCCTCTGATTCATGAGGATGGGATAGTGAAGTGGGCGGCTAATGGCCACATAGCGGTCATAAGCCATGAGTCCCAGCAAGAGCCCCTCAGATCCCACAAGAGAGACAAAAAAGCCAATTTGTATGCCACAACCCACAAAGGAGACGGACTTCCTGCCAGACAGGAAGTTGGCTGCCATCTTTGGCACAATGTTACAGATCAGCATGAGGTCCATGAGGGAGAGCTGACTGAGGAAGAAGTACATGGGTGTGTGAAGCCGAGGATCTATATAGATGAGGAAGATGAGGAGGACATTCCCACAGAGAGCCACTGTGAAGACCACCATAACTATAGAGAAAAGGACAAGATCAGTTGGGCTGTGGGAGAAGATGCCCAAAAGAATGAAGCCATCTGTGGATGATGATTGGTTCAACCAAGTCTCCATGGCTCAGTTGTTATTCCGGGTCACCTGAGAACATGGACAAAAAAATGTTGGATTGAGTGATGTTTCTCTAGTGACCTTTTCATTCCATGTCTTCAGCCAGCTGTTTTGTCTGCAACTCATCAGACTCCGACAACTTAAGCTTTGGGGCATAATAGGGGACGCTCCTTCATGTCCCCCTGACACAGAGACAGGAGCCCTCCCAGCTCATAGAATGGGAACACGTATTTGTACTGGTCTGTCTCCTTACCACAGTGAGTAGAAACTGAGTTGTTTTACATGTCACAGACCTTTGGACAATCCCCGTCAGCAAGTCTTGGCTTTGACCATATGACACTGAGTCTTTTGTCTGGGATCATGTCGACTCTGAAAACTATATTTGACAATCTTGAACCATTTCATCCTCAGAGATAATTCATGTGTGTTACAGAAAGGGAAGGGAAGGAAGCAGGAGCTGCTCTTTAGTGTGGAGTCTTTCTCTGGGTTCCATGAGTTTTATCACGCCAACCACTGTGTTATCGTCATAGTGTGGAGAAAGGAAATTCTCCTCTGGTGCCACGTGAGAAAGGAGGAGTTGTAATGGATCCTGTCATTGTCAATCACATTGGGGGTGACAGGAACATCCCAGGACCAATGTGGAGGAGCAATGAGCACTGGGTGCCCATACTTCCTGAGAGCAGTGAGGTTTTAGTTATGTTGAGACTTTAAAAATAATCCCACTATCAGGGCCTCAGTAAAAGTGGCTAACAAACCAGTATAGGTAATACCTACTTAATAAGTTATCTTTTTTTTTTTTTTT